AAGTGCTGTATTCCTGAGCAGGGGGCAATTGTGGTGTGGTGAGAGAATGTTGTGGAGCAGACAGAAAGGAGCAGAAAGAAATATCTGGAGAGATTTCTTGGTTTTTAGCTAGGTATGGTAGTACATGCCTTTGATCCCAGCACTCAGGAGGCAGAGGCAGGTGGGTCTCTGTGAGTTTGAGGCCAGCCTGGTCTACACAGTGAGTTTCAAGACAGCCAGAGTTACATAGTGAGACTCTGGAGAGAAAGAGAGAGGGGGGGGAGGAGAAGAAGAAGAAGAAGAAGAAGAAGAAGAAGAAGAAGAAGAAGAAGAAGAAGAAGAAGAAAAAGGAGGAGGAGGAGGAGAGGAGAGGAGAGGAGAGGAGAAGAGAAGAGAAGAGAAGAGAAGAGAAGAGAAGAAAATATTCCTTTTGCTACAGAAAAGAAGTTAGAGACATAGGCAAGAACAGGATTTAAATTTAAGAAACTTTCTGCAGGTCCCTCTTGTGCTATTAGTAATTAGAATTGCAGTTACAAACTGACCAAGGCAGACTTTCATACAGATAGACACCTAATTCAACCCAAGTTCATTAATATAAAATGTACACAACTTGCCCTCTTGTGGGGGTGCACATATTTGAAACTTGATCCTCCTGGTGGTGATAGATGGACTCTTTAAGAGGAAGGTCTTGTAGGAAGTGATTAGGGGACACCTAGTTTATGGGTAAGGCACAGTGTCATTTTTATGGTCTTCATTTTATACTCAAGACTAATTTCATATATTAACTACATTGCCCACTGTCCTAGTTAGGGTTTCTATTGCTGTGAAGAGAGACCATGACTATGGCAACTCCTAAAAGAAACATTTAATGAACAGCTTACAGTTTAGAGGTTCAGTCCATTATCATCATGGTGGGACGTGGTGGCATGCAGGCAGATATGGTGCTGGAGAAATAGCTGAGAGTCCTACATCTTGGAAACAATAGGTGTTGGGTTTCCCCCCCACTCTTTACTCTTTGGGGGACCCACCACTCAACTCCAAAATAATCACACAGAGACTTATTCTTTCTCATGAATGTCCAGCCTTAGCTTGGCTTATTTATAGCCAGCTTTTCTTAACTTAAATTATCCCATCTACCCTTTGCCTCTGGGCTTTTATCTTTCTCTATTCTAGATACCTTTCTTTACTTCTTGCTCCATGGCTTGCTGTGTAGCTGGGTAGCTGGCCCCTGATGTCCTCACTCCTCCTTTTTTCACTCCTTCTCTTCTCTCTTTTTCTCCTTCTATTTATTCTTTCTACCTGGCAGCTCTACCTATCCCTCTCCTGCCTTGCTATTGGCCGTTCAGCTCTTTATTAGACCAATCAGGTGTTTTAGTCAGGCAAAGTAACACAGCTTCATGGAGTTAAACAAATGTAGCATGAAAGAATGCAATACATCTTTGTATCATTAACAAAATGTTCCACAGCATAAACAAATGTAACACTTCTTCAACTAATATCCCATAGCAAACGGAAAGTTGTCTTAGCGTCACATTAAGCAAAGCTTGTGCAAAAAAAAAGACCTCAAAGCCTGCCCCCACAGTGGCACACTTCCTCCAACAGGGCCACATCTACTTCAACAAGGCCACGCCTCCTAATAGGGCCACTTCCTTTGGGGCCATTTTCTTTCAAACCACCACACCCACTTATCCTGAATCAAATGATACAGCCTCAGTATTTATTGCATAGTCCCTACTACTGCTGTACATGTGACAGAGGCACACACATAACTATTGAATACTGTGAGAGCACCCCTAATTATGACTGATGTACTTTTATTACCATTGAATTACTGTATTTATTTACGCTTTCTTGTCTATGCTGTAGTCAGAGTTGTGCCACTGAAAAAATTTCTGCTTTGTGTTTAGGGTATGTTTCTAGATTCCCTTTAAGGAACTGCTGCTTGCAAGCATAACCCATGTGGTAACTACAGAGCTATGTGGATAAGGGACAATGACCAGCAGTGTGAAATTAGAGCTCTTCCAGCAGAGGCCAGGTCCAGCTACACTATTTGTTCATCACCACCCCCACCCCACCACCCCCACACACACACCACCCTACACCAAACACCATCTTATCTTCACTCTCGAAAAAGGTGGCAGAAGTTCACACTTCTGAAATTGCAGCTGGAGTTGTGGCATGAACAGAGAATGTCTTCATTCTCATTCGCAGTTGGGAAAAGCCATACTATTCTTATTGACGCATGTTGGGATAGCTCCCAGTGTGTTGCAGTGCCTGAGGCTGCTGAACAGAGTTGGTTTTAGAAGGGAGGATGGGCAGTCTGGGTCAGAGCCAGAGGCGTGAGAAGATCTAGCCTGCGTCCTTCTGGGTCCCCATCACAGGGGTCACCTTTTGAATGTGCTATGCTTACAACTTCCTTGGTTGGTTCCTGAGGTCCTAGAAACACTGGTTTGGTTTTGTTTGCATTCTCTTTATCTTGTTTTATTTAATTTATTTTTAAACTTAGCAACATTCCATATGCTGTAAGAGGGCCATAGCCCAGGTCAAGGGATGGAATTGAGTGATGGCTTACTGGAGGAAAGGCCCCAGCTCTATCCATGCTTTGATGGACACGTCTCAGCTGGGTCTATAGTCAGCAGAAGTAAATTCCGTATGAGTTTTAAAAGGGGCACAGGTCTGCACAAGGGAAGAGTAGAGGAGTGAAAGCCAAGAGGCTCAGATACTAAGTATCACTGAGCTTCACAATCAGGAGGCGGCATTATTCCACCTCCTGTAGCTTAATTGATGACTAGGAATCAACACAAGGAGTGGCAAAAGACCACCTGATGGGTGGTCCCAGAGGAGTGTGGAAACTAGCTGGCCAAAAAGATGTGCGATTCCTTGGGAGGAAGTATCAGATTGCATTGTCCTGTGGGAGATAGGAACATGAGCACTGTACCCACAGTTCTGAGGTGAAGCTGGGTCTGGGACAAGGTGGGAACCCCATTAATACACAAGAGAGACTGATATCTTAGGAACTAGGGACCTGTGACCTGCTGACGATGGTACCGGCAGAGCCTAGGGCAACTCGGGGAACCAACAAAGATTTGAAACTTCCTCTCACCACCACCCTCTCTTTGTAGGAGCCTGGGTGGCCTGAGCCCGGGATTGGAGTAAAGACAGCCCCAGAGTGGGAGCTGATGACAGGAGATATGTGTGGTAGAAAAGAGACTGGAGAGGAGCACACTCATAATAACCCTGATGGAGTATTAATTCTGGTTTTTGAGAAATGAACAAATCCCTAAATAGCTGAGTCAGACTTCTAAATATTTAATGACAGTAAAACCCCCAATCAAATTTTAGATAAAACTGCAGGACTTTTCAGAAAATAGAAAATCATCATGTGTGTCTACAGCCCTCACATGGGGAGGTTTTACCTTGGGCTGGAGATAGGGAACTTTATTTCCATGCCCGATTGAGGCTTCCTGTGGAAGGATGGACTCACCAAAGGCCACCTGCCTACATACTGAGAACAGTCTGATCTTCAAGTGCACATTTTGCCTAGGAACATGACATAGGGCCCATTTTGTCCCCTTTAAATCCATCCTACATTAAGCTTCATCCTCTCTACCTAGAGCATAGCCCAGGTGAAGGGTGGGTGCCTAGCTATTGAGCAGCTTCCTAAGGACATATGCAGATATGTGACCTCCCTGCCCATTGCTAACTCTACTGCCCTAAGCTGGGTAGGCTCTGCTCCCTTGGGGCAGCATGGCTCTGCATCTCTAATCCACACCATCTGGGCTTCTTGGCTTCTGCCTGAAGTCCTTCCACTTAAAGGGACCTGACATGCACTTGACTGCTTCTCTTGCAACTCAAGGTCTTTGCTCTTAAAACTCAGAATATTTTCCTCATGTTGCTTGCTGTCTACATCTGCTCTGGAGACAGAGACGCAGTGCTCTAGCCAGGAAAACAATGACAACCACAGAAACATTACAAAATCTCCCACACTACATTGTGCCAAAAATACTTCTTAAAACTGAAGCTGTGCCTTTATATTGTTGTAAACTTGGTTTTAACTTGTGAACTAGGCCACCATTTTATTCTGGGCTTTTGTGAAATGTTGAAGTCTCTCTCTCTCTCTCTCTCTCTCTCTCTCTCTCTCTCTCCATATATATATATATATATATATATATGTACATACACAAAGAGACAGAGAAGGAGAAAGAAACAGACACACATGAGGGAGGGGTACAGGGAGACAGACAGAAAGAGACAGACAAACAGAGAGACCCTGATACCTCTCAAAGCCTTGGTTCCCAGAAGAACATGGTACCATTAATGTCATGAAGGAATGAGCCTGTGAGACACTGGAGAAGGGGGAGGCAGCATGGACCTCCAGTCAAGAGCCCTCTGTGGCATCTTACCTTGATCTCTTAGGATATCTGGTGAAGGCAAGTTGCCTAAGGCCTCTAAGTCTCCGGTCCCTTTCCAGTAAACAGGGCCAACCGTTTCAGGAGGGCACTTAGTGTGGCTTTAAGACCTCTGGGACATCAAGGTCATGCAGCTCCTGGCACGGGGCTTCTGGCCTCGGAGGACCACGTGAGTGTCTTATGCTTTCCTTTCTTCCTGCCCCCCTGTTCTGAGAAATATTGGGAACAATCCGTGCTAGACTAAGTGTAGAGTTGACAGGGCTATGGAAAAGTAAGGCTTTGCTGAGCAAGAAATCAGTAGTAATTTGATTTTGGAAGCAACAGAAATATTTCTTCAAAAGATGCTTTTAAAGAAGTCCCTTCAGTGAGAGCTGCCCCTACCAGAACTGAGCGCTGAGCGGCTGTGTAGCCCCAGTGAATGCCTTTATTTACACCTCAGGCAACAATGGCAGGAGCTTGTGTCCACATTTGAAAAAGTACTGGGCCCAGGCATTTAAAAAATGTCATCCCTAAAACACCTGGGTGTCTTCATACCTTCATAAAACTAAAGATAGGACTTTATAGGGTAAGGACTGTGGGAGGTGTGACCCTGATCATGGGCTTGTGTCTCAGGTGTCTCCGTGTGAGCGGTGTCGCTGTGAAGCCAATGGTGAAGTACTGTGCACAGTGTCGGCGTGTCCCCAGACGGAATGTGTGGACCCCGTGTACGAGCCTGATCAGTGCTGCCCCATCTGCAAAAACGGTAGGTGGAACACCCATCGGGACAGTGTGACCGGCAGTCCCAGCCACTCTGCTTATGAAGGTGGAATATTGGGCATGCATGGTTTCCGTAGATGTGTCTGGGCCCTGTCACATAGATCATCTCCAGTTATGGGGGTAGGTGCAGGTGAGACTTGCTGTTTACCAAGGCATCTGTCTCACTGGTGTCTACCTTGTGTCTCATAGATGTGATGAAGTTTGGAGGGGAAAATTCCATTCTGCCACGGTGGAGAATCACGTATTTTAATTTAACTTCGTTTGTTCTTGCAAAGCTGTTTCTGTTTCCAAGAAGAATCAAACACGTTTGTTGGGCTCATTTACTTTTCATCACTAAGTGAATTAAAGTAGAAACATAATTGAATATTTTTCAAAAGCAAATTAGACAGGAAGAGAGGTCCCTCTTTTTCCCAGGGAGCATCCTTGGTACACAAAAAGCCAGACTGGAAGTCATTGTCAAGGAAGAGTGCTTGCCTAACTTACTAAGAAGCATTAATCACTCTTCTACCTGAAGCTATTAGGACCATATGGGTGTGGCTCTCCAGGAGGGTGTTTGATGAAGGCACATTCTCACTGGAATAGACCAGGGGATTACAACTCAATTAGGTGATTGTTGAAGACATAGTAGGCAGCTTAGAAGAGAACAGAGATAGGAAAGCTGACCAGTGCTTCCATGTCTCAGTATCTTCCCTATGGGAGACCGGGATTTCTGGATTATATTGACTTATGGTTTGTCATAGGTATCTAAGGGTGCACATGTGAGTACTGCAGGGCTAATTTGTGATGTCTGTAAACTTGTGTGCTTCTGGAGCAATGCTTGATGGCTCTATGATACAGGCTTTATAGGCAGCAGGTTAGATCTGCATTCATGATTATATAAGAGTACCAGTTGCATTCCAATTTTGAGAGTCTTGGGACTCCATTAAAACTTTGATCAAGGATATGCACATACGTAAATTTCCCTCCAACACATTGTGAAACTCTTGAAATGTATAAGTAGAAGAGGAAAGGAAGTTTCCATTGAAGATGGGTAGCCCTGAAAGGGCAAGGTCAATGTGTTAGAAATGAGTAACTGTGGAGGATGGTATATTCAGCCCTGACTGCAAATGGACAGTGTTCCAGGAAAAGGGTTAGGAAGTGTCATGTAAGACTAGTGGTGCATTTATGAAGAGACCATGAGGTATGATTCCATTTGATGAGAATGGAGAAACTTTTGAAAGTCAAGAGTATTTTTTGTTTTTGTCTTGGTATAGACATTGTGCTCCATGTACACATGTTTGTGCACCACTTGCATGTCTGGTGCCATCAGAGGCCAGAAGAGAGTGTCAGATCCCCTGAAACTAGAGTCACAGATGGAGATGAGCTGCCATGTGGATGATGGGAATTGAACCAAGGTCCTTTGGAAGAGCTGTCAGTCCTCTTAACCCATGAACCATTTCTAAAGTCCCTCAAGTATGTTCTTCTAAGAAAGAATGTAAAACAGAACTACAGGAAACTAATGACTACTGGGGGAAGAAGAATTAGCATCTCCAAGGGCTTGAGGAGGCCCCTGATTGTCTAATACAAAGTGGTTTTACATGAAACTATATATGCACAAAGAACAAAAATGGACTCAGTGGGATATATGTATGTGTGTTTGTCCATATATACATACATATGAACATCATATGGGTTACATATATGTATGTAACAATAATAACCAAAGAAAAAGAGGCTATCAACTTGAGCATGGGGGGAGCATGGGATGAGTTGAAAGGAAGAGTACATTGGATGATCTAGAGGGAAGAAAGGGAAGAAGGGAAGTATTATAATTATTGCATTTTAATTTAAAATGTAAAACAATACATTAAAAAAAGAATGTTACAACAGTGAAGTAGTGTGTGGGGAATTGAAATAATTTGCTAGTGTAAATCAACAATAAGAGAAGGAGACTGAAGAAGGAGAAACAGAGGCAGGTGATAAGGCTAGCAGAGTGTCCTTCAGATGGTGTGTGGTAGTACACTAGCAAGGCCAAGGGCTGTAGTCAGGACTTCAGATGGCGAGGAGATGGCCAAAGCTGGCAGGTCTTCAGCTCCCTGCTGGGAGAGAGGCTGAAGAATGACCTCTTCTCCAGCCAAATGATAGTCAGTGAGTGGCTTAAACACTGACACTGAGATGCTTGGTAAACAAAGTATCAGAGATAATCTGTGTTTCTCTTGTCAGTTACAATTGGTAACAATGTGTTGGTATTAGCTAGCCTTGGAAGTCAGAATTTCAATCCCTGTGTATTTTCCACAGGGGGTAAAAAAGACAACAGAGAGTGCTAACTAGCATAAGTGTCCAGTGAGCGGGCACCCACTCCACATTTGCCTGCTGTTCTGCTTTGTTTGATTCATGGTTTTCACTCTCTATCTTTTTTTGTTTTGTTTTGTTTTTCAAGACAGGGTTTCTCTGTGTAGCTTTGCACCTTTCCTGGAACTCGCTTTGTAGATCAGGCCGGCCTCGAACTCACAGAGATCCGCCTGCCTCTGCCTCCCGAAAGCTGGGATTAAAGGCGTGTGCACCACCGCCTGGCTTCACTCTCTTATCTTGCCTACTGGCCACCCCAGACAAGTCACCTCTGCAAAGGCATGGCCCAGTAGCATTGGTACTGAGGTCATTTGCACAAGAGTAGCTTCCCTTCCTCCCACCACCAATAGGGAACTTTCTGAATAAAGAAATATTTCCTTACAGTTTGTTTTGCCCATAGGATTTATCCCAGTTAGGGGACAGAGTCATTCAAAGACCTCTCAAAGATATTTGAAGGAATTATTTGCCGTGTGTTGATATGTCAAAATTGCAAATATTTGGGCTTGAGGGGTAGCTCAACAGTTAAGAGCATGTGCTATTCTTCCAGAGCTAGACCCCAGTTTCACTCCCAGGACCACTTTAGGTGGATGCCTAAATCTCCAGCTCGAGGAGAATCCAATACCCCTGACTTTTGAAGCACCTGTACTCACGAGTACACAATTAAAAATAAAAGTAAAATTCAAAAATCACAAATATTCAGTGTAATTTATTTCTATGTGCATTCAATTTTTTAAATCATTTTTAGATATAATTTTATTGTTTGAGTGAACAATGTGTATTTTAAAAATAAGACCTATAAAATAAACTCAGAGATTTGTTGTGTTTTACTACTAAAGTGATGGCTTGGAAAGTGTCTACTTGGTGGCTGCCCTGATAGTTAAACCTCTAAATATTCACATATTCTTTACCTGTATGCTTTTTGGGGCAACAGAGATTAAGCCAAGGCATAGTTTGGGGCCTATTAAAAACCTGTAGAAGTATGATGATATTTTCATAAACTAGATTTATCTATGGAAAGCTTCACACTAAGAGGTTTGAGCCAATTATACTAAATAGCAATAACTTCTTATTTTGAAGACTACAATTATAAACACATTGAAATATTTCTAACTATATACCTATGATGAGATTTTTTGCCTTATTCACCAAAGAGTTCTTAACTTTGGGGTCTCTGTTTTTAAGATATTCTGACCTTGGCAGAGTGTCAAATCTGACTGAAAAATGCTTGCTTGAGAATAGAATCTGTGTCTGTCAGAGATGGACACTCTGTGATAACTAACTGAAGTTAATGGATAATTTACAGTGACCCAGCCCTGCCTCCCACACACAAAAATGATGTTTTTGTAAGAAAAGATTATTTCGTATATATAGTTGATTGTAGAATACCAAGAGTGGGTGCTGTATGTGAACATAAACATTTGAGTAGACTTAGCTTGGATGAAGCTGTGAAGTATAACCCTGATCGCCGAGCTGCACATTGTCTTCATGCTGGTATAACTTGACCTACAGCATTAAACAGCTCTTTTCTGGGTAAAACAGAAATTGCAATTTGGTTGCTGCCTGTCAGTCTCTTTCATCTAAAGAGCAAAAGTTTGAAACCAAGAATGACTTGAGTATAAGTAAATGATCATAAATCAAGTACAGTTTTAACCTATTCACTTTCTTGACTTGTGTAGATCATTCTCTCAGTGTTCTTTTCTTTTAATGAAAGGAATGCATTATGGCACTGTTCCCCAACCCCACTACTATACAAACAGGGTGCTGTATCGACTTTTGGGAACTCACACTTTCTCTGGTGGTGGACGCACCCTGTCCTTTACGTACCTTGATCATGGGCATATTTTCAGCATTGCATAGGCAAGTGGCTTTCACCAGTGATCAGATCTCTGCTCTGTGTAGACAGACATTCTTTTCCACTGCCAGCCCCAAATAATGACATGGAGAGCTATTATTAATTATGAAAGCTTGGTCTTAGCTTAAGCTTGTCCTACTAGCTTTTATAACTTAAATTAACTCATCTATATTAATCTGCCACTTGGCATTACCTCTCCTTCATCTTGAACCTCCTGTTTCCTCTCCACATCTTGTTGGCATCTCCTCTGTGCCCCGATTATTTCCTCCTACTTCCTTTCTCTGCCTGGAAGTCCTACCTACACCTCCTGCCTAGCTATTGGCAATTCAGCTCTTCATTAAACCAATCACAACAGTGAACCAACCTTCACACAGTATACAAATATCCCACATTTCCCCCTTTTTGTCTAAATAAAGAGGAAAATTTTAACTCTAACATAGTAAAACTATATATAATAAGAACAATTATCAAGTAAGAATTATATTTGCAATGCTTAGTCCATATGTATTTGGCAAATTCAGAGAAAGTACTGTATTGTCTGTCCTATCTTAGTGAGTCCAAAGTTTTGTACCTAAACCATTTTTTATCTTAATTCGTATTACTATTCTAAAACATATTTTAGATAAACAACTTAAGCTTTTAATGTTTTTCTTTCTTTCTTTCTTTCTTTTTTTTTTTTTTTTTTTTTGGTTTTTCAAGACAGGGTTTCTCTGTGTAGTTTTGGTGCTTGTCCTGGATCTTGATCTGTAGACCAGGCTGGCCTTGAACTCACAGAGATCCGCCTGATTCTGCCTCCTGAGTGCTGG